CACATAATTCTCACATTTTATCTTTGTAAGAGAAGCAAACCAACAAACTCTATGAGATCAAACCGGATTCCAACTAGTGTTACATTCCTAGAATCCTGCTTTATGTTTTGTTGAGTGTCTAAAAGAAGAACAACAAATAAGTGCTCTTCGGAGGTTGTGAACATTTCCTAAAATATCCAAATGTGTACTGTCTTCAAACATGTCCTGGATTTATGACTCTCCCAGTGCTTCATATTTTTGTGGTAGATATTAGTAAATTCATTTCAATTATTCCATGTAGTTTTGAAAAGAAGATCACATGTATAGTTTTATCATTTTAATTTCCTGTTCCTCAACCTATAATTTCAGTATTGAGCCCCTTACTCTAGGATAACTATTAATTATTTTAGTTAAAAAAAAAGATTTCCTGAATTGACTCTCTTTTTGCGTATTCAGATCATATTTGCCTCAATAATAGCATTTATCCTACCTTAATAGAAGTTCAGAGATAAGACTCGTCAATAAGTGTTGTGTACTAGAGTAAGTGTGTTCTTTTGCCATAAACTCAATAAACTGAATTCTATAAATTGTTTTTAGTGATTTATCAGTATGAATCTAGAGCAGTTCAGATTCAGGATTATGTATTTCACATGCCACTAATGTTAGTATAGTAACTATAGGATTCTAATACTGGATGTCTAGAAGTACTTTTATTTTAAAAGGAAACTATAATTTTCAAGAGCAAAATCAAGTATCTCTGACACTGAACTTCATTTGAAACACTATATTTTGTGGAATGATAATACAATGTATTTAACCTATTCTCTGTATTACTAGATTTATTTATTTTTAATTTTTTCTAGCAAAAGAACAGTTGGCTTTAAAATTCCACTCTGAGGCCTCTCATGTCACTAAAACCCCATTCCACCTGAAAATAATCTAGCGCAAGGTCACACCTCTCGAAGTCCAATGTGATAGAAACATTTAAGTATCTCTTTGGAAGGAAGGAAATGCTATCTTTAATGTACTTCTCTATATACTGTGTCAACCTCATAGTTAAATTATACTATGGACTCAAACTAAGCTCTACTCACGGTCGCACCTCTTATCCCTTTATTAACCTTTAGGTTTTTATGATCTGTTAGGTATAGATAAACATCTGCTCGACAGACCAAAATCATACCTAGCCACCTGTCTAACTATTTCAAAGGCTACCAGTAAAAATACCTAGAGTGTATAAACAGCACCTAGCTTCACATTGAGATGAACATATTTTCTATGCACCGCAATCCTTGTGACCCTATTTTCAGCAGCTCACATGGTGGACACCTGTGGCTAGTTGGTCTGGATTTGGGTGAGGCATAACATCTCAAGTTCAAAGTATGTTGCATTATTTAACAAGCGTAGGGTGAAAATTAATCATGGGCGTGCATAATGAAATAGTTTAAAAATATACTTGTACACATGTGTAAATTTAATTTGGATTAAATTTCCAAATCCAGGAGATATTAGAGGAGTCACAAAATTGTTAAAAAACAATTTAAAGTATTTAAAAGGGCCTTTAATTTGTCCTATGTACTTCAAGCTCTTATGTAAAAGAAGCTTACTAGCACAAACTGGCTATGCTCTCATGTAAATATTTTTTCAATAAAATTTTCCAGTTTTTTTCTTAAAGACTCTGCCTCAACAATTTTAATTTATGTTAAAAATAAGTAACAGGCTCCATAATTTGGGTTGAATTGAAAACAACAGAGTTAATAAAATTCATCCTTAACTAGAAAGAATTTGAATATCTATCAAATAGTGCATGGAAATAAGAAAGCTATAGCTAAGAGTCATTATTATTATTATTTTTTACTATGGCAAGCTACTGGATTAAACTGTTACAAGCAGAAATATAATGTTCATCATATAATTGGTGAGTCCATATTATTATGTAATAGAGACACACAGTATTTAAATTACACTACGAAGTTGAATTGAGTTTTACTTAAAGAAAATATGAACTAAGAGCTAGCTATAAACTAAGCTTGGGCTTGTGTTGTAGTTGGGAAAAATGTAGACGCTAACGTTTGGCAACCTTATAAGAAGTCCAAAAAGAAAAAAGAAAAACCAAACCATTAGGGAATCATTTTGAATAGGGACAAGAAAAATGTAAATAGAAGTGGCATTGTCCATTGTTACTATAAATCTGTTCTCTTGTTTAATTCCTAATAAGTTATTCTTCAGGCAGTGGTCTTTGTAGGTCATAAAGTTATAAAGTTTAGATATCAGAAAATAATAAAAACTTCATAAAATGCCATTGATTCTAATGGAGTTTTATGCTATCTTGAATAATAAATGGTAGAAATTTAATTTGAAAATGCAGTATTAGTTACAAATACACAAATGGCTCTTTCCATTTCCTCCTCATTTTTTATCTCCCCTCCCCCAGAGAAAGAATTCCATTAGAAAAATCTACTAAAGTAGATTCATTATCAGGACCTGATTCCATGATATATGCCTAGTTTTCAAGTGTCTGAAGAATGTCAGCAGATTTTGAGTATGGCTGAAAAGTGTTTGTTGAGTATGACCAGAAAAGTGTTTGTTCAATGAGGACATTATAAACCATTTTTAGTATTTTTGATTTACAATAACTTTTTGTGTTCTATTTTTCTTTGATTTGAGAGATATCAAGAAGTTGCTTAAGAGTATATTTTTGGATGCCTCAGAAATCTCATCATGAGCAATTTAACACTCATCACATTGTGTATCTTATAGTAAGATTTGTAGCTAAAGATAATCTGCTTATTGCCCCAGCCTATCTAAAGAGTAGATGACTTCTATTACACTGAGTGTCATATGTCTTTGGCAGATTAAATTTTTTTCATCGTTTTTATGATACTAGTGAGAATAGTAGGATGGTAAATGGTTTTAAAATAAGATGGGAGGGGCGCCTGGATGGCTCAGTGGGTTAAAGCCTTTGCCTTCCGCTCAGGTCATGGTCTCAGGGTCCTGGGATCGGATCGAGCCCCGCATGGGGCTCTCTGCTCAGCGGGGAGCCTGCTTCCTCCTATCTCTCTCTGCCTGCCTCTCTGCCTACTTGTGATCTCTGTCTGTAAATAACTAAATAAAATCTCTAAAAATAAAATAAAATTAGATGGGAGCAAAAGATATATAAGCTACTGTGCATTCACATTGGCTTCTGCACCTTTCTCTAAATATAAGATATATTATTCATCTACATATATATGTGTGCGTGTGTGTATATATTCACTACATATTATTCTATATAGTCCACATATGTCTTTATATTCCGTTATAGGTAAAAGACATGGACAATATGCACACAGATTTCATGATTCTTTTTGGCTTAACTGGGTGTTTTCCAGCACTATGATTAAAATATCAGCAAGGAAGATACAATTATGTTGTCAAGGAATCAGCAAGGAACGTGAGATGACTTACTGCTTCATTACTTCCATAATTCTTGGTGGCTAGCCCTTTAATACAGGTGTTGGTGGTTATCAATCACAGAGAATCTCTCAGCTTCTCTCCTCTTTCAATCAACTTTCACTGACTTGTTGATGCAAGGAGTGTGTTTGCCTCGAGCAATTGGTTTAAAAAGCACTTGTAATTCTGAGAGGAACACTTCATGTTGTTGCTGTTAAAACACTGCAATTAGATCTTTCCGCCAAATTTAGGGATGGAGAGAGGAACCGACTTCTGGGTTCCTGGTGGAAATTACTGGTGTCATGAGCCAGTGGAACAGGTAATTTTGAGTTATCAGCAGTCTCAGGAAGGTGCATTTCCATTCTTGTTTACCCCCGCATTTGAAATTTGAAGGTACTGTCCTACTGATGACAACTATTATACCAGCTGGAATGAGAATAGCTTGTGGAGCCAGCATTTCCTTAGACCACACTAAGTGAAGGATTCAATAGTGTCACAATAATAATGGAAAAAAGCTCAACTCCAGTTGCAGAACTGTGAGAATTACAGGTTCCTTCAGATCCCTCCCAGCTATTTTAAGCATTTCCTGTTAGGAAGGGGTTTCAAAATGCTCCCAAGAATAATTCCTTGGGATTTTATGAAATATATAGTTACACTTTAAGTGTAACTTCCCTTCCAAATCTAGATACAAGTCTATGAGAGCTTAACTCGGGAATCATTTTAGTGCACACTATTCAGGAGTTAATATTTCTGTCTCTCCTCCAAACCTTGTAAGATGTCTTCTGCTCTCTTACCTTAGGAAGAGGTCCTTCCATCAGGCATCTCCATTTCATATATGCTGGTCCACAAGCCGGATCCTGTAGATTTGCTGTTGCAGTCACACTGATACTACAAAACAAAATATCTAATTGTGTTAAAAATATACATAAAATCTACCATTTAAACCATTTTTAGATGTACAGTTCAGTGAAATTAAATACATTCACATTATTGTGCAACCATTACCACTGTCTATTTCTGGAAATTTTCAACATCCTAAATTGAAACCTGTACCCATTAAACAAGAGTTCCTTCTGCCCCAGAGCCTCTGAAAAGCACCCTTCTACCTTCTGTCTCTATGAATTTGACTACTTTAGGTACTTCCTATAAGTAGATTCATACTGTACTTGTCCTATTGGGTCTAGCTATTTTGCTTAGCATAATGTCTTCAAGGTTCATCTATGTTGTTACATTTATCAGAATTTCATTCCTGTATAATGTTGAATCATATTCCATTGTATGTATAACCAATTTTGTTTACCCTTTCATCTGTCAGTGGAAATTTGGGCTATTTCCACTATTTGGGTATTTAATGAATAACACTGTTATGAACCCTGATATACAAATATTATTTAAGTCCTGCTTTCAATTTTTCTGGGTATATACCCAGAAGTGAAAGTGCTGGATTATGTGGTAATTTGAACTTTTTGAGGAACCAGCATAGTGTTTTCTATAGTGGATGTATTATGTTCCATTCCCACCAATGATTCACAAGGCTTCTAATTTCTCCACATCCTCACGAACACTTGTCACTTTCTGATTTTTGAGAATAGTCATACTAATGGCATGAAGTGGTATATCATTGTGGTTTTGATTTGCATTTCCCTAATGATTAGCGATATGTGTTTTTTCAATTAGCAATAATCGCGCCTCGGATAAACCTCATTGGCTACGATACTGCCACTGCGCAAAGCTTTGTGATATGTGTTTTTTCATGTGCTTTTTGGTGTTCTGATATTTTAAGTTCATGCTACCATACCTAAGTTTAGCATAGCTCTATGCTAGCATTTTCATGTTTGCTATGTAGAGAAAGCAGTAGATTTAACTATCAAACTAAAGACCAAGAAAACAAGATCCTGGTTCTTAAACTGAAATTCATTTCTAACAAATTCCAGGAAACTGAACAGGCAGAGCGCTATCCTAACATTACTGAAATCAGTACCTTGAAGAAGGCATACCATAAAAAAATTAAAAAAAAAAAGCCCCCCCCATAAAAGCCATCCTAGGTTGAAAACTGGAGATTCATAATATGCAAAGACAAAATTTTATAAGAATCTTTCTTATAATAGGAGAACTAGAACTACCATATTTTGAGTCCACTGAGAATAACTCTATGTGAATTGCCAGACACCTTGATCTCAGACTTCTCAGCCTCCAAAATTGTGAGAAATAATTTTTTGTTGTTTAAGCCACTCAGGCTATGTTATTTTGTTATGGTAGCTAGAATCAACACAAACCCTCCTGTATGAGCAGATTTTCAGGTGTAAAAAATATCTAATGGAATATTTGGCAATTTATCTTCAAAATATGTCAGTGTTATGCTGTAGGAAGATGATTTGTGACTTTCTAGTACCTGTCTTGAATTAATGCTGGTATTCTTCCTCAATCCCAAACATATCACTGAGGGAATATTCTCACTTCTATCTAGTGTTATAGAAGAGCAGCTATATTTCTGCCTTATAACATTGTCTTCACCATTTTGTAGCATAATGAAATAACTGTAAACTAAAATAAGATAATTTACCTGAGTATGGATTTTTAAATTAAGTATGTTCATTGTCAGTATTATGTATTATTGCCATATAGAAATAAAATATTTCAGGTCATTCCACTTGCTTTGATTTTCTAAATAAATTGAAAAGTAAATTTCATAATTCAATGTGCTTATTTCTAAATTTATAGGCAAATTTAGTATATAAACTTAAGTGATATATTAAATTCTTAACAATTTCTCTCTCTACATACTCATACACATTGGGAGAGACTATGAATTATATGCAAATCAGGAATAAAACAAAAATAACTTCTTTAAAAGGAGAGAGGGTGTTTTTGTTTCTATTTTCTACTTTAAAACTCAAACCAGTGGAAGATTTGTAATTAAAGACTATAAACATTGTTAGCAAATCCAACTGATAAATTTTAGACCACACAGCTAGAGAAGATAGTTTGTTTCAACAGTTATCATAGTTGTCATTGATTGTTTCATTGGCATGTACGCAGTGGCAGTTTGGTCAAGGCTCTATTGATAACCACTGGATAAAAAAGACATCAATAGTTGGGTAGACACAAACACTTGCAAATTGAGAACAAAATATCTTTCCAATCACTTTTAAGGGAAATCTTGCAAATGGTGCGTTTTCAATTCCAGGACCAGTAGAACTGTTTAACAGGGGTTGTACATCTCTAGACATATTCCGGTGAGAAAAAAATCTGTATGGATCTGATGAAATATTACAGATAACAGATTTATCCTCAATACATTTCAAAGAGCTATTTTAAAATATTTCAAAGCATGTGACTTCAGAAAATAAAAATATATTAAAAAATAAGAGATTATAATACTACAAACACTTTGTCTTTTGTTGATATATTTCCTCACAAGTGAAAGATCTCCAAGGCTTTCATTATAACATAGGTTTTTAGCACAAAATTTCAATGACCTTTATTGTAGCTTATTTACCTGAGATTTAAATATATTTCAGGGGAGAGTGATTAAATAATAAATAACTAGCTTCTCAGTAGTAATAAATATTTATAGGAAGTATTCTCATTTTGTTCATTACTGATATGCATGCTCTACTTACTGAAATCAGACCAAATGTAATGTCCTTCTTTGGAGCAAAAGGTACTTTATACTTAGCACTCTATTACTAAAGTTGAAATTCACATCCATTTTGCCTGCTGAAAGCATTTGAGAAAGGAAACTTAAAGTTATCCAAGTAAGTGCCTTTTCTTTTCTTTCTTTTTTCTAAATATCAGTCATCCACTCCTATGAGTTGTGTATGTGGGCACAGAATTTAATATTTGTTTGTTTATAGTAAAAAAAAATTCCATCCACCCTCCCTCCTGGAGGTGCCAACTCTAAGACCCTCCTCCCTTAGCCCAGGCTGCCCACCCCGGAAGCTGAAAATAGGACATTTAGATCAAAAAAGCTCTACAAAAAAACTAGAGTTAAAACAAGATTTCATGGACTTTAATTCCCACAGTATTTAGCAAGCTGTGAATTTAATCAACATTATAAAACAGTTTATGTAAATGTCTTCCTCAGTGAGAAAGGAGGAATAAGATTTAATTTAAGGTATAGAGAATCAATTTAGTTGAATACAGTTTGAGAAAGACTGGACTTTATTCAAATCAATTATCTCCGGGCTAAAATAAAAACACCCTTTCTCTTGTGGACTATTATGCAAAATTCTTTGACTTTTATATGTATTGTGAGGCTATTTTTGACATAAGTAGATATAAAAACAATATAATTTGAATTTATTTAGTGTAACAAAAAAAGCTATAGAAATTCTAGAAGAAAAAAGCTATTGAGATACAAATTAGTTTGTAAGAAAACATCAAAAGGACAATTAATTCATTCTATTGAATACATTGTTTTTAAGTCTCTATAATAATTAATAAATTAAATTGCTTTTAAAAGGGATTATAAATGAAGTCTATTAACTTTTTATTCTAAAGTCACATGTAAGTATTTGAGTCGGTCCATCTTGTTAGCAAACCCAAGTTAATTCGAAAAAAAGAATATTTAATATTCTTGTGTATTTATTGTAATGTCAAAATCTCTTTATAATATCTATAGATAAAAAAGGCTATTAGATATTGAATTCTTTTATCTCCCTTAGTAACAACGGTTTACTTAGACTTTCCACTTAGTAAATATCATTTTTTTTATTTGCTTACTTTAGATTGGACTGAAAGTTATAGCTATGTGATGAGATTAAACATGGAGAGTTCCACAAAAATAAAGTTTTATTTGTAGCATTTGAAAGTACCCTCTACCTTCTTATTTACATGATAATACAAAGGGAAAAGATAGTATGTTATATACATATGTATTTTTATATAAAATATATACATCTATAATATGTAATATATATTTTAACATTAATAAAATATATATTTCATATGCATATATGTATAATCTTTATGCAATCACTCTACTGGTAAATTCCAGAAAAAGTGAAGCTTTTAATGGAAATCTTTGCAGACTTGCCTAAATAGTTGTTTATTCACACATTTCTTCATAAAACATTTTATGATCTTCCTATGTGCTAAGCAATGTGATGGTAACTAGAGGTTTATAGTCCTCTTCATTTTTCTTTGGGAATATATGTACGTATGTGTGTATTAAGATTCTTTATACAGGAAAGAAATGACCTCTTTATGATGTGTTGCAAGTGACTTGGTTCCCTTAGCTTATCATAGGCATTCGCTTAGGTATGTCATTGATTCACATATACTTGAATTATTGAATATTTGACTTCTATTTAATTGAATTCATCAATCATAGTTTACCAATTATGGATTCTGAATTTTAGTCATAAGAGAGATGGATGTTTGAGAACTTGAATAAATAGCATGTCTAAAAAAGTTAATGTAAAATTTAGATACATCATTTTGTGAGTCTCTAAAGAAGATGATCACTTATGCCATAAATGCAAAATAAAACAAAACAAAAACAGAAACAAATATACTGTTTTGAATTTCTATTTCCCATAGAAATGAAGATAAGAAAAAATAAGCAAAGGGAAACATGGAATAATAAAATGATTAGTTTTTTTTTTTTTTTTAAACTCCAGAAGCATCACTGTTCTACAGAAATTCAAGACCAGAAGTGTTTGTCAATTTCTAAGCATAGGCACTTTTAAAAAGTGAGAAGACTGATCTTTAACTGTCAGTTTTAAAAAGACTAGGTTTTTCTGAATAAGGAGAGTGTGTTGCCCAGTCGCTTTCATGGAATATACAGGAAACCTCTTCTTGAATATGATTTGCCACAGTAAAGCAGTTTTCGAAGCCTGACTCTGTTACAGTCATCACAGTTTGCCTGACACTGCAGCCAGCCTCGTCAGGCGTCCAGGTGCTAAGCATTCTTCACAGTATAAAGCAGTTGACAAGTTGAAGATAACCAGAACTTTTGTAGAAGTCAAAAATGTGGTTTCTAGCCAAGACAATAAGAGGAATGTCTATGTGAGTGACAACCCAAGACACCAGGGGTGGGTGGTTAAAATGAACAGTCCCCATTGAAGTGTTTTACAGTGACAGAAAATGTTTGCTTTTTATTAGTGGTTTGTGAGTGTGTGAGTGTGTGTGTGTGCATGCTTGCGTGTGCACACACACTTATGCATGGGGGTGGGGTACTAATGTCTTTCAGTAAGGAGAAATATATCATTTTTATCTAAAGTTTTGCTAAAAATATGACACTCATGCAAGCACAATTTTGTTCCTGACAGTAGCTTGCTTTGCTCTATTCAATCCACATTCCAACTGTTCATTAGGAAGCCATAAATAGATCAGTTTATACAAAGAATAACACAGAGTTATTTTACTTCAAACCTCTTTGAAAAATATTTACTTTAATTGTCTCTAAGTTTGCTGTAGCATTGAAAGTGTTTGAATATCCAGTGCTAATGCAGAAAAGATTCTGCGCCAGTTACGCCATTAAGATACTCAAAACCCGTATTCTGATAGAGTGGGTAGTGGAGAGCCTGGGGAATTTGGAAAAATCATTTTGGTAACCAAACATTTGTGATTTTAAATGGAGAAGCTAAAGATTGTTTAATGTTAAGAACTTCAAGACAGAACATCTGAGCAAGATCAGGCATATTATTATTGAATTCCATCCCCTAATTCATATTATTAAACTCTTCAGATCACTTTAATCTTATAAATCATTAAATCACTTCCAGTCC